CGAGGGATTCCCTAAGGATTCTTAAGAATTCCTTAGGGAGTCAGAAGGATTCCTTCGGAATTCCTTTTGGGATTTTGAAGGATTCCTTCGGGACTCTTAAGGCTTCCTCAGGGATGCTTAAGGAGTCCCTAGGGATTCCCCAGCGAGTCTTAAGGATTCCCTAGGGGTTCTGAAAGATTATTGAGGGATTCTTGAGGATTCCCGGAGGACTTCGCATGGATTCTTAAGGATTCCTGAAGGATGCCCAAGGGATGCTTAAGGATTCCCTAAGGAGCCCCTAGGAATTCTGAAGGATTCCCTAAGGAGTCCTTAGGGATTCTGAAGGATTCCCTAAGGATTCCTCCAGGAGTCCCTCGGGATTCTGAAGGATTCCCTCAGGACCCCCTACGGATTTTAAAGGATTTTTAAGGATTCCCTAAGGATTCCCTAAGGATTCCCTAGGATTCCCTAGGGATTCCCTAAGGATTCCCTAAGGATGCCCTAGGATGTTGTGTTGTGTTGTTCGCCCCCCCCCCCCCCCCTTCGGACTGACCGGGGGGGCAGTGCCGGCCTTCTCCACTGTGGTGGAACCGGCGGATCCGCTCCCGCACCCCGGGGGGGCCATGCCGGCCTTAACCTTGTTGTTGTTGTTGTTGTTGTTGATGTTGTTGTTGTTGTTGTCGTTGTGGTTGTGGTTGTGGTTGTTGTTGTTGTGGTTGTTGTTGTGGTTGTTGTTGTTGTTGTTTTTATTGTTGTTGTTTTTGTGGTTGTTGTTGTTTGTTGTTGGTTGTTGTTGCTATGGTTGTGGTTGTTTGTTGTTGTTGGTGGTGTTGTTGTTGTTTCTTGTTTATTGTTTCTTGTTTGTTGTGTGTTGTTTGTTGCTGGTTGTTTGTTGCTTGCTGTTTGTTGTTTGTTGTTTGTTGTGGTTGTGGTTGTGGTTGTGATTGTAGTTGTTGCTGTTGCTGCTGCTGTTGCTGTTGCTGTTGATGTTGTTGTTGGTGGTGCTCTTGCTGGTGCTGGTGCTGGTGTGGTTGTTGTAGTAGCAGTTGTAGTTTTTGTTGTTGTTGTGGTGGTGGTGGTGGTGGTTGTTGTTGGTGTTGTTCTTGTTGTTGTTGTTGTTGTTGTTGTTGTTGTTGTTGTTGTTGTTGTTGTTGTTGTTGTTTCATTTCTCTTAGAGCATCCGCCTGTAGGAGGACATGCCCGACCTAAGCCTGGCTGCGAGGGACGATTTCGGCCACTACAAATAATCTAGATCGGCCTGGCGGGCCCTCCACATGCCTCGGTCTTGGCGCCCAGGAGTCTCGAATGTCCGCTCCTGGGGACCCTTGGGCGGCTACGTGGAAGCCAGCTTTTTCCCTGCACTTGGACCGCACTTGAGCCTTCCTCCTGCTTCTCCTCCCCCCCCCCTTTCGTTCTCTCGTCTCCCCTGTGAAGGGGCGCATCGGGTCCCAATCCGGTCCAACGCGGGTCCCCAATTGTCTTCTACCTCCGGTCCAAGTCGGGGCCAAGGCGGACAGCGCCAGGGGGCCACGTGGGCTCCCGTGGAGCAGGCACCAGAGCATGATTCGGCCCTGCATCGTGTCGGCTTCGGCTGATGCGCCAGCATACCCCGCGGACAGCCCCCAGAGCTCTCGTGCGAGGTGTGCAGATCGACGGGCAGACTTGCGCCGACTTTGCGGTGCGAATTCGCCACCCGACTGGCTCTGGCCCCGACCATGTGCTGCGCTGTTTCCGGGTAGCGCCCGATCGCAGGGCGCAGGGTCATGGACGCCGCCCCCCCGCAGCTCGTCCTCCTCCCCCTCCTCCTCCTCCTCCTCCTCCTCCTCCTCCTCCTCCTCTTCTGGGCCGAGGATTTGCCCGGTCACACAGGTATCCCCTGGGGCTGACTGGAACAACGTCTAGTCCGAAACACAGCCCCTACTCCCTCTTCCCTGCGCTCCCTCCTCCTTTCTCCTTTTCCTCCTCCAACTCGTCCCTCTCCTCCTCCTCCACCTCCTCCTCCTCCTCCTCTCCTCCACCTCCCTCCTCCTCCTCCTCCTCCCTCCTCCTCCTCCTCCTCCCTCTCCTCCTCCTCCTCCTCCTCCTCCTCCTCCGCCCCACGTCCGCGCCGCGCGGCCTTTTGGCCTCCTCCTGCTCCCCTTCCTCCTTCCTCCTTCCTCCTTCCACCTTCCCTCCTCCACCATTCCTCCTCCTCCCCTCTTCCTCCTCCTCCTCCTCCTCCTCCTCCTCCTCCTCTCCTCCCTCCCTCCTCCTCCTCCTCCTCCCACACTCCTCCTTGCCCCCTCCCCCATCCACCTCCTCCTCCCCCTCCCCTCTGCCCCCTTCCCCTCCCCCTCCTTCTCCTCATCCTCCTCCCCTCCACTCCTCCCTCCTCCACCTCCTCCTGCCCCCACCTCCCCCTCTTCCTTCCCTCCTCCTCCCCCTCCTCCTCCTCCTTCTCCTCCTCGTCCTCCTCCTCCTCCCCGCCTGCGGCGGCCGGGCCCGCCACTGCAGCTGTTCGCGGGTGCGCGAGCATCCCGTGGGGCCGCGGACGGGGGCCAGGGACGGGAGGCTCGAGCAGGAGGTCGACGACAGGATCGATTCACCCCCAAAGTCGATCTTCCTGTCGAATCCATGAGGGACAACAGCGTAGAGTAGTCGGCAGATCCACGGAGCACTGCTGGTATATGTTGGTTGCGTGAATTCGACGGGGGCCAGGGAAGGGAGGTTCGAGCAGGAGGTCGACTACAGAATCGAAAGCAGCTGCGTGAGCGGATTCTCGACTCGACCCTTGGCTATTCCCCCCCTCCCTCTCCCCCCGAGTGGGCCTCGGCCCTCCCTCCGAGGCGCTGGTCGCGCCCCTACCCTGCCCTTTGCTATCCCCCCCCTTCCGTTCCCCCCGAGCGTGGGCGTCGGCCCTCCCTCCGAGGCGCTGGTCGCGCCCCTACCCTACCCTTTGCTGTCTCCCCCTCCCCAAATCGATCTTTCTGTCGAATCCATGAGGAACAGCGTGGAGTGGTCAGCAGATCCACGGAGCACTGCTGGTATATGTTGCGTGGATTCGACGGGAAAATCAAGTTTGGGGTGCATCGATGCTGTAGTCGATCCCCAGTGGGGCCCTGAAGAAGGAACCCTTTTCGTTGGGGAGGGGCTCCGTGTTCCTTAATTGTTTCGCAGCTTGCCTTGGATTTTCCTTAGGTTTTCGATGCGAAAGCGAAGTTCAACTCATGGAAAAAAGGGGCCTCGTTCCTTATTTAGGGTTCCTGAGGTCAACGCCTCGACTGTACTCGAGAGCTGGGGGTCTGTTGGACGGGGCCGTGGCGCGGACAGGTCCGTTCCGGAGCGTTCCGGAGCGCTCTCAGGACGCTCCGAAACGCTCTGAGAGGGCCGCGGCGCTCGAGACATCCTCCAGAGCAGCCCGGATCGCAGAGATCCTCGAACGATCCTCGCCCGCCATTTTGTCCTCGCCTTGGCTTCGTCTTCTAGCCTCTGGCGCAGTGGCGGTGGACGGAGGGCAGACGGAGCGCTCTCAGGACGCTCCAGAAGGCTCTGAGAAGGCCGCGGCGCTCGACACGTCCTCCAGAGCAGCCCGGCTCGCGGAGCTCCTCGATCGATCCTCTCCCGCCATGTTCTCCTCGCCCTGGCCTCGTCTTATATAGCCTTTGTGGCGCAGGTGGCGGCGGACGGACAGGGCAGCCGGGGGCGGCCCCCGACGGGTGCGGCGGCGCGGCGCCGCGCGGTGCCGAGGCCTCCCGCCTCCTCCTCATTATTCCTCTCCATCCTCCACCTCCTCCTCCTCCTTACTCACCCCTCCCTCCTCCTCCTCTCCTCTCCCCCCAACCACCCCCTCCCTCCCTCCTCCACCTCCTCCTCCTCCACCTCCTCCTCCTCCCTACCTCCTCCTCCACCACCTCGTTCCTCCCTCCTACCTCCACCCCCACCTCCTCCTCCTCCCCCTCCTCCTCCTCCTCCTCCTCCTCCTTCTCCTCCTCACTCCTCCCCCTCCTCCTCCCTCCTCCTCCTCCTCCTTCTCCTCCTTCCTCCTCCTCCTCCTCCTCATCCTCCTCTTCCTTCTCCTCCTCCTCCTCCTCCTCCTCCTCCTCCTCCTCCTCCTCCTCCTCCTTCTCCTCGTCGGGGTCCCCCGGGGAGGCCCTGCGCGGCCGGTTTTCTGGGGCCCTGGGAGCCGCTCTCCGGCGGCGCCGCGGGCGGCCAGGGCCTGCAGCGGTCCAACGACGTCGCGGGGCGGCGGCCGCCGCCCTCTATCCTTGAAGCGCGGCGCTAAGGCGAGAACCACATTTTGAAAACCACCCGCCCTCAATCCTTCGAGCTCTTGCAATGTTTGTAATACGAATGTGCGCGGCGCTGAGGTCAGAGCCACATTGTGAAAACCACCCGCCTTCCTTTGTGAACCTGTTGCCAAAATTCAAGCTTCATGATCATACATGATACGGACGTTTCAGGCGAAACGCCCGGCCCGCCCTTCCGACTGGCCTCGGGGTGCGAGAGTGCTGAGTTATGTAAACGGAAAAGGAATGGAGGAGACTGGAAGAGACATGGAGGGGAAGCGGGGTGGAGGAGGAGGAAGAAGGGGAGGAGGATGAGGAAGTTGAAGTGGAGGGCGAAGGGAGGATATGAGGGCAGGGTGGAGGGAATGGCGGGGGAGGGAGGATGGTTTCTGGAGCCCCCCATTGGGCCCGTTCGCATGGTGCACGAGTAGTTTTCGGGGACCGACCGCAGCAAGGATACTGTCGCAGTGTAGAAGGTGCCCGAGCCGCGGCCACCTGGAGTCAGGCAGCCAGCGCGTGGCGCAGCGTGGGAGGCCTCCTCGCCCAGTCGTGACGACCCCCCTCCTCGCCTGCGCCGGCCAGCTCGTGGGAGGCCAGCGGGGGGCTCCGCCGACCGGCGGTTCGAAGATGGGGCTCGCAGGGATGGGATCACGAGGAGAGGCAGGGGGGGGTCGCAGGTCGGACTTGCACTGCTTGGAGCCCCGTGTGCTCAGGGCCCCTTCCCTCGGGGCTGTCTCTTTGAGCCGCCGAGCCGAGGTGTGCGCCTCGTGCCCTCGGTTGAGGACATCCAGATCGCGATCAACGGCGGCGCCCTCGCGGTGCTGAAGTGCTCGAAGGTCATCGAGGCGTGGGACACCGTCGCCGCCCCGGCAGCCACCCGTCGCTGGGGTGGGCCGGGCCGGCATCTGTAGCGCCGCCTCGAGTCCTCGCTGCTTACTCGCCTCGCGCACGGAGTCCTCAGTGGTGTGCTTCCTCAAAGGGCACCTGCACACCACCGCCATGCCTGGCCAGGGACATCCTTAGCCCTCTGATGGTGGCCCGAAGAAGAAAAGGGCATACGGCATACGCACAAACTTTCGGAGCTCTGCGCGGATTTCTTGGATCCGAGCTGGGCCCCCCCCCCCCCAGCGCCGCCCCTGGCGCGCTCCGCGCGCCAGGGCGGGGACCCTCTTGTCTAGGCCTCCTAGACGGGGTCGGAGCAGCGGAGTAGATGGGGTCGGAGGATCGCGCCGCATCGCCGATGCATCGCCGATATGGCTCGGTGTGGGGCCCGATTTGCTTCACGTCGACGTCGCCGATGCATCGCCGACGTCGACGATGCATCGCCTGCGCATCGTGGATGCATCGCTGATGCATTGATGCATCGCCGTCGTATCGGCGATGCGGCGCGATCCTCTGACCCCATCTACTCCGACCCCATCTGGGAGGCCTCTATCCTGGCCTCTGCCAGGAGTTCAGCCACGCGCAGAGGGGGGTGGGGGGAGGGGGGAGGGGGAGGGCTTCTTAGAAGCACCCCCGCTTCCGAGAAGGAGAGAAGGCGGGCCTGATCTCATAGATGTATAATATAAGGCCGGCGCCTCCTAAAGGGCAGCCTCCTTCTACTGAGAAGCCCCCCCCCCCCCCCCTCCCTCCCCCCCCCCGTGCGCGCCGCCAGAGGAGGGCGCGTGCACCTGGGCCGCCCTGGCTGGGCGCGGGCGGTGGTGCACAGGGTGCCGCCTGCGCAGGGGGGTCCCCCGCGAGGGCGCCGGCCCCCTCGCGCGAGCGGCTGCGCCCGCCGCGCGAGAGAGGCGCGGCTGGCGGGGGCGGGCCGCTCCCGGAAGAGGAGGCGTTGGGCAGCAGAGCACCGGAGCCCTTGGTGCAGTGGAGGCCCAGGCCAAGACACGCCCTGCTTGCCTCCAGGGTGCCCTGGGTTTCTTGGGCTGGGAGGGTTTTCTGCTGCGGGAGGCGCGGCGTTCCCACGCCAAGGGTCGATGGACGTCCCTGGGGTCTCAGGGCTGGGTCTCTTGTGGAAGGTTTCTTGTGGTCGGGCCCCTACTGTATGCCTCGGAATTCGGCGGCGAGCGAAGGGGGGAAGTGGGAACTCTGGCATACGGGTTCCACCCGGCACACGGCGTGGGGGGGCTTGGATTTTGATTCCGATTTCGCGTGCCTCGTGGGGGGGTCGACGGGCGGCTTCCGCCGGGTCGCGTGGGGGGGCATCGCTTTGGGTGCATGGGGGGCAGCGCCTGTGGGGGGGTCGGAACGGGCTGTATGTCTGCCGGGATGGCACCGGGGGGGGTTCTTATTGTGACATCCGGAGCGGTGTCTGCTCTTTGCCCCCCCCTCCCAGGGCCAGTGGCCGCTCTGCCCGCTGCCAGATCGCGCGTGACACGTGAGCGCCTCGGCCGCAGGGGGCGGTCACGGGCCTCCGCGCCGGGCAGCCCGCCGCCGCCGCCGCCCGAGGTGACGATCCCGAAGAACGTGCAGCTGGTCATGAACCCGAACCTGCCGCCCGTGCAGGGGTCCCGGGCGGCGCGCAAGGGGGGCACGCCGAGCCGCAAGAGAGGGGGGGGGCAGTGCAAACAAAAAGAAAACAACAAGAAAACAAGCATAACAGGAAAAACCTAAGAACATATTCAAAAAACAAGTAAAACAAAAAAGACAACAGCACAAGAAAACAAGGGGGCCAATGCAAACAAAACAAATCAAACACATAACACACTAATAACATGTCTTAGTCTTTTTATCAGGCAACATATTTTCATTTTTAAACAAAAAGCAACAAGACGGGGGTCAATGCAAACAGGGGTCAGCCAGAGCGCCAGACCTTGCAGGATCCTGCAGCGAGGCAGCGCTGCATCGACCCGGGCCTGCGCGCAGGGCCCTGCAGAGTCTTGCGGCGCCCTGCGCAGCCGGACGGGCCCGGGCCAGCAGTGCCCCGGGCCAGCGCGCCCCCGAGCACGGGGCGAGGGGCCGCCCAGAAGCCGGGCCGCCCAGACGGGGTCCGAGCAGGCGGGGTCGGAGGGTCGCGCCACCTCGGCGATGCATCGGCGACGCGGCTCGACGCGAAGCCCGTCGCCATGTGCAGCGCCGCGGCGCGCGACCCTCCGACCCCACCTGCACGGGCCCCATCTGGGAGGCCTCGATAGGGCCGCCAAGGAGTGCAGCAGGCGCAGGAAGAGATCTTGCTCTTCGAATCTCGTGAAGAAGCGCATTCTTCGTCGAGGCTGGAGCTTCCCGATGTGCCCCAGGGGCCTGTGAGCCCCCAGGGCCGTTGAATAGATCTTGCTACTGGAATTCGTGAAGCGCGTTCTTTGTCGAGGCTTGAGCTTCCCGATGTGCCCTATACGGGCCCGTGCGCCCCCAGGGCCGTCGGGGGGGGGGGGGGGGGGATGGGACGCTGCCGTGGGGCGCAGGCTGGCAGGCCGATCTTTCTTACCTGGCGCGCCTGCTGCATCTGACCACCCCGTCCGCCGCTGGAGCCCACTGCTGTGACCCCCCTCCTCCTCCTCCTCCTCCTCCTCCTCCTCCTCCTCCTCCTCCTCCTCCTCCTCCCTCCTCCTCCTCCTCCTCCTTCCTCCTCCCTCCTCCTTCCCTCCCTCCTCCTCCTCCTCCTCCTCCTCCTCCTCCTCTCCTCCTCCTCCTCCTCTCCTCCTCCTCCTCCTCCTCCTCCCCCCTCCCCCCGCGGTGGTCCGCCTGCCGTTTCAGAGAGACTGTGGCTCGTCTGCGTCGTGTGGACGTGGCGGCCTCCCCTGACGAACCAACAACACACACCCATACCCATACAGTGAACGGCTTGAATAAGGAACACTTACTTTTCAAAAGGGGCTCGGTCGTTCCTTAGATTTTACATGCGTTATTTACAGTTCCTTATGCGTTATTTGTTATGTATCGTTCCTTATGCGTTATTCCTTGGGATAACAAGGGGCTTCGTTCCGTATTTATCGTTCCTTAGGTCAGGCCGATGACTGTAGGGGGATCGGAGAGGGCTATGGGCGCGTGTTGTCGGATGGGGGTCCCCGCTCGAACGGGAGCGTTCCCCAGGGTCCGACAACCCGCACCCATACCCATAGCCAGTCCTCCTCCCAACGACCTCCCTATGGGTATGGGTGTGTGTTGCTCCGTTCGTCATCCCCGGCGCGGCGTTCGAGGTGGAACGCCGGCGGCGGCCCGGGGCACCGGCGGACACCGAGCGGCCTGCGCTGTCGGAAGGCCGCGATCGTGCCAGGGCGGAGCTGCGCGCTGCGTCGAGGTGGAGAGCGCCGCCGATGGCTCTCAGGGGCCTCTTTTGGGGCTTCCTGGGGGCCTCTCGGGACCGAGGGCTCGAAATGTTGTGTCGTGCTCCCCCTCGGGGGCCGCTCTTGGGGCGCTCTATGGGGGCCCTCTTGGGGCGCGCTTGTTCCGGACAGTGTTCTGGACACGGTTCTGGACAATTCGGGGGTGGACAGACCTCCTAACAGTGACACGTCGATTAGTGAACTGTCCGTTTTCGGTTCTCGAGAGGGCGCCGCGGTCGTCATTTTCCAGGCTTGCGCCCGCCAGGTTTGGGCCCGAGGTCGTTGTCACTAAACCACGTTTTACTAAAGGGAGGTCTGTCCATCCCCGGACAATGCTCCAGACAGATTCGTTCCAGACGCGGCACGGTGCCAACGCAGCAGGAGGCTGCGGGGCTTCTCTGAAGCCTTCCGGCCTTTTGGGAGGTCTTCCGAGCCTTCTGAGAGGGCCCGCCCCTTCGCATTTCTCCACGCGGTTCGCCGCCGATCATCACCAGCTTAAGTCGGAGTTTCTTGCCTCGTGTCGTCTTGTCTCGTCGCTCTGTCGCCTCCCCTCTCGTATCCTGTCCCTCCACTTTGTCGTTTCTGCGCTCTGGGCTCGTCGTCGCTTTCCCCTCGGCCTCGTCTTCCTCCTCCTCTCCCGCGTTCGGCCTCGTCCTCCGCTTCCTTGGGGTCGAAGCTGTGTAAGGCAGCTTGCGGGCCCTAAAACACCAGCTTGACACATGGCCCTAATAATCCCTGTGTTTGGCATCACCTTACAGTCGGGGCCCTGAAGAAGGAACCCTTTTGGTTGGGGAGGGGCTCCGCGTTCCTTAAGTGTTTCACAGCTTGCCTCAGGCTTTCCTTATGTTTTCGACAGGAAATCGAAGGTTAACTTATGGAAAAAAGCGGCCTCGTTCCTTATTTAGGGTTCCTTAGGTCAAGGCCCCGACTGTACCTCGGTGCGGATCCTCAGGATTCCGTCGGTTTCCGAGGGCGCAGCCCCAAGATGGTCATCGCCTTTTGGCTTGTCAGTCGTAGGAATGGGAATGCGCCCGAGGCTGGTTCGGTCCGCGACCCAGCCAGTCTTGCTCGATGGTCTTTTGGTCGCGGAGCGCGGGCGGCCGATGTCCGCGCGGGGTGGCTGCACCGTGTTGCGCACGTCGGAAATTGGAGCATATCCATTGCCAGTGGCGGGCTGTCTTTCAATCCCAGGACTTGTTGAGGGTCGGGGACGACTTCTCGGGGTGGTGTGGTGTATATTGTTTCCCCCGTCTTCCCGGGGAGACAGCGAAACACGTATTCACCAGGATCCCGTCCACACCAGGGTCCGCTTTCCTGTGCGAGTTGCGGGGCGGGGCTGGGAAAAGCGTCGGTGTATAGAGTTCAGCTCTTCAGCACGGGCCACGTGGCACCTGGGAGGCCGGCCGCGGAGCAGAGGGACCGAAGCCGGGCGAGGCGCTGCAGGACGTGAAGGACTCGACGCTGGCGCCTGCGGCCCAAGTTCTGGGTCGGAGCCGTGCCATGGGGCGGCCTTCAGAGGAGGAGTGGGCACCGATACCGCTACCTTTTGCGGGGCGGCGCAGCTCTCGCCGAAGCCGAGGCCCGTGCGTTGCTGCCGGCGGTGAGGTTTGGCATGTGCGGGTAGCAGTTGGACGATGGACACTCTTGGGTACGCTCGAGGTACCGATGCCGCTACCCCTCCCTCATTTTCCTTTTTGGGGGCCTCCTTGGAGGCCCTCGCCACCGCTGGATTCGCTTCGAAATTCTGGTCAGAGCGCACCCCAGGAGAGGTCCAGGGAGTGGCGGTATCGGTGCCCCTTGGTTTCCCAACGAGGGACGGCCCAAGGGCTGCACAGTGCGGACCATCCAGGGTGCAAGGGGATGGGATTCGAGAGGCTCGTCTTGTGCCTCACGGGGCCCCCAGAAGCTCCGACCCTTTCCCTTGGTACTGGCTTTTCACCCCTGGCCGTCCTTTGACGGCCTTGGGACCCGTCGAAGCTTGCCAGGGTCCGAAAACGTCAGACATTTCCGTGCTGCTTCTTGTCAAGCTCTTGAGGGCATCGCCCCAAACATGGTTGTACCGCTGCAGCGGAAGTACAGATCCTTGAATTATTAAGATGGGCGCCGCGCGGGGCGGATGGGGCAGTTTGACGTGCTCGCGCGTTCGGTATGTCGCACATGAGGGTTTGATTGCCAGAGACCGCCATGGCCGTCTTCACCACGACCGTGGTTACGTCGTTGGCGACCGTCGGGTTGGCGGTGATGATCACCGCCAATATCAAGATGATGGGCGCCGCCATGATGAAGCGACCATGGTTACCATCATCATGGTGATGGATCACGATCACCATCGTGATCATCATGATGAGTCCCCCATCCCCTACATTCCGAACTAAGAGTCTCTGCTGTGGCGGGACGGGACTTGATCCCATTTATGAGGATGAGGACTAATCAAATCCCGCCCATCGGAAAGATAGCGGGATCACGTCCCACCCGTCCCGTCAATGCCCGTCCCGCGGTCGATCAAGTCCCGGCCAGGTGGCATTTTGCAGACCCCCTAAAGGCGTTGCGCCCGCGCTCAGACGTCTTACATGATGTGGTCGGTGGCGGGCGCTTTCTGACCACACCGCCTGGGCAACGATCTGCTATAGCATATGCTTGTGCTACTTGTGCTGTATGTTTGGAACATCCGAAACTTCACCGCGCGGTCCGTCACCACGTAGTTTTGGGACCCTGGTGGCCCCGGCCGCCCGAGAGATCCTCGGGAGGGACCCGAGTCTCGAACCCGTGCTGTCATTTTGGGCCCCACTGTCGCACCAGGCGGTGTGGTCACCGCGCCGCGTGGGGCTCCCCGAGGCTCCCCAGGGGCCGAAGGCGCCAGATAAACCTCCGAGCTGTCTCTTCACAGCACGCCCGAGGGCAGGCCCCTGTTGCCCGAAGGGAGCCGGGCACTGCAAGAATGCCCGCCCCGACAAGTCGACGGAACATCCGCGACGGTTGCTGCCCCGCTGGGGTCCACTCGGGATGCGGCGACGCGCGCACGTGGAGGGAGCGTCCGTGTCTCTGGGAGGGGGAGGAGGAGGAGGAGGAGGAGGAGGAGGAGGAG